CCAAAACCATCCTATTGGAGGGTCAGCTCTGAGTAGGTCCCAATTCGACAATATACCACAATAACAATATTGCATTAGAGGTCTACTGTGGAGACCCAAGGTTTACCAGACGTTGTTTGTCTCTATGGTTGTGCCTTAGAAATAGTCATTGTTACTCACTGATTCCTTTTGCATATGAAATTTTAAAAATGAGATTTTATCTCTAAGAGAACTCTGACAAAATCCCCCTACCTAATTTTGCCCCCACTATTTTTCTTGTGTGCCATGTTTCTTTGTGACATGTAGCTAGTGGAAAAGCAAAGCAACGTACAGCAAAACAATGGGGAAACTGGACAGCCGTCATGTAGTTTAATGGTCAAAGCAGATCCATGAGGTTTTTTTAGTTCAGCTTCTAATGAAATAAACAGAACAATTTTCTTTTTACTCTGTTTTTGAGTCTGGCTGATCACATGAGCCAATTTATCAGACTGTTTTGCTCTAATGATTCCAAGCCCCTAAGTTTGTATCTAGATGATGAATAATAGTTTTTACCTTGAAGATGGATTGAACTTTTGATTTTTTTTTCTCATTCTTCCTTTTTCTCTCTGTTGTCTCTCTCTTGTCTGATTCCTAAGTTCAAAAAGGCAAGTACTTTTAACAGTTTGAACATAGCTTGTAGAACTTGAGTTCTGTTGCAACCAATTCCCCGATGTTTTCATTCCCCCGCCCCCAGTTGCTGTCAATGTGGATGAATCCTCTCAATCTGTATTCTATGTCTGACACTGCACTATAATTGGCAACATATAGTATAGTGGATAAGAATATGAATAAGATATTGCTCAAGGAGGCTCAATGATCCCATAGTTTAATCAACAAAAGTGATTTTTTTTCTCATTCACATCATACTTTGAAGTGAATCATGAACTCTTCTTCCATATTATAGCTGTATATTTTAAAATATAGGACGTTTAAAGTTGTTTTAAGAAAAAAGCAAAATGGCCACTTCAGCTGAAAAAGTTGTGTTCTGCTTTTTATCCACTGCCACATGAATATTTATTTGGCTGAGTGCTACATGTTTTGTCAGGGTCTCTGAAGCAGCTAGGTTGCTACAGTAATTTGACCTTGGCAAGTAACCTTCTCCATCAATCTGTTTCCTTGTCACGGCAAATGGTTATATGCTGAGCTCAGGCAATGTTCATGATTGGCATTTACCAATTGAGATTGTCGTAAGAACAAAGTGAGTTAGTCACATAAAGTGCTTATGTACATGAAAAATAACACCAAGTGGTTTTATAAATATGATTTTTATACATATCACCTTTAGAATTTGAGTCATCACATATTTGTTATTTATCTCCTAACTACTCATCAAGTGGAAAGAAAGCGTTCGGGCAGAGGCTGAAAAAAAAGAACACTGCTAATGTCTGCTAACAATAGCACATGAATGCTGCTACAATCTTTGAAGGAAGCAGTTACATACGTGAAACAGCAACTGCACACTCTTTTGTTAGCGTCTAAAGCATCTATAGTATGATGTTATAGGAAGTGAGTCATATGAGTGTGTGCTAGCGGGGTAGGAGTTAGTGATGGCAAAGGTCACGTGTCAGCTGTGCTGCCCATGATTCTCTAGTTTGACCATTAAGATGTAGTTACACCCTTGTTGAGGGCTGGTGTAATGTAGTCCCTTCCATTATGCAATCTGTTATGAGCTGCCAATCACTTGAAAGGGGGCTTAGTAGGGGCTGTGGCGTTCATTGAGAATATATGGATGTTCTGGTAAAACTTGTTTGCCTTTTTCTCCAACCAGGTTCAGCATCTGGCTTGTCATTACCTGATCTCTAGGCTTTTGGTTTGGTTTTGTTTTTATTTGAGCCAGTAATCTGCCATCTTGCCTGTCAATCTTGGTCTTACCAATTACTGCCTGCTATTTGATCAGCTTATTGCCTATTGATCTTGGATTCATCAAAAACTGCAACTAATAAAAGAGACACAGCCTCCAGCTTGACACCCAAGCTACAGCCTTGAGACTTGCCAACATAGATGTCAACTTCCCTAGTTTTGCTTCTCTAGAGAACCTAGCTCAAGGCAAGGTTGTAAAGGGATAATCTGAACAATGTATGGGAAAGGAGTCCTGGTGGCACAGTTCAACACGCAGCCAGTTCAAACCCACTTGCAGCTCAGTGGAGCAAAGAGACACATGGAGCTCTATTTGCATATAGCTAACAGTCAAGAAAAACTCACGAGGGCAGCTCTACTCTGTCAGGTGGTGTCACGAGGAGCTGGAATTTGTTTAAAGATGTCCAATTAAATATTTATGAGAAATGGGAATTATTTTGTGTGTTTTCTCAGGAAATGACTCATATTTTTATTAGATTCTTCAAAGTATCTGTTGCTTAAATGTGTTTAAGATCCTTTGCCCTTAATATTTTGCTAAATTGGAAATGTAGAATGCAAGAGTTGAGGTTCCATGCTATAACAGAATACGGATGAGTTAAATTCTAAAGTTCTGTGATTTCATTTCCAGGAAAGTTAATCAGCAAAAGGGAAAGGATTTTGGGCCACTTGGGCCAGGATTCTATCATATAGGGGTAGATAGAAGATTGACACGTGATAGAGAACGGTTTAGGCCTGTTGTCTTTATGAATGGCAGGCAACTCAACAGCCCATAACAACAAGAGTAGATATCTCCCTTCCACTACCTTCTTCTCCCATTGGCCCACTGTCTCTCTGTCAAGAGGTAATTGGATTAAAAAATAATAATAATCTATTCAAGAAAGAGAAAACTGATTCTTGAAAAAACTATCAAGGACCTGAAAGTAAGCCATGGGATTTGTTTAGCCACTCTCTGAAGTCTTACCACTGCCTTGGCTCTGAGAGCAGGCAGAGCAATGGTAGGCATTAAATATCAAGGATCTGTTTCTTTGCCAGAATTGGTATGAGCTATTTCTAAAGTCATCCTCCTCCCTGATGCTTTGCTTCTCATACCATGTCCCTGTGGGTCATTAATGTGTTTACAAGCACATACTTTTGTATGAAATGTTTATTTACTCTTATAATTATCGTGTGTTTCATTGGAAGCATCCGCTTTGAGGCCTGTATAGCACATGGTAGAAATAGGCATGCATAAGGAAAGAGTCCTCTGTGCCTGGACCACGAGCAGGTAAGCATACCAGGTCAAATTGTGATGAACTAACAAGAAAATGCAACTAAAAGACACACTTGGAAAAAAAATGTATTACATAAAATAATTTACTTCTCATTCAGAATGACCTCCCAGACCCCCATGTGAAACAGTAGTCTGTAAGTAAAGATACAATCTGAAAGTCATGACAGTTACAGAAGGGCAAGACCAGAAGAGTTACATGTTTACAACCGGCAGTCAACTAGAGATAAAACTGTGGAACTAGGTATAAAAGAAAAGAATTTGGATAAGGAATTCTGGGGACATCGAGAATAAGGTTGCCAAAGGGTCAAAAAGGTACAATTGAGAAAGCCTACACTTGTATATGATAGGGCTTGCATACACACACTCTCAGGTCATTATTTTGCACTCCAGAGTGACTGAGAAGCCACTTAGGTGCTCATGCGTGCCATTTATGCTGTAGAAATCAGCTCAGCGTGTGTTAAATATGTATGTACGTGTATGCATTTTCAAAGGCAGTAGTTTTAGAAGAATGAGAAGAAAATTACTTCCTGGCCATTCAATAAAAATTCAGGTGATCTCCTGCACCTCCATTTATAAAACAATACAATAATAAAAACATTATATAAGTCATCATAAATAACATAAATGAAAAATGTTCAAGTATTTCATGTGCCTTGAAAAGTTACAAGCAGTAGTTCTAACAATGGAATTATTTTCCCCTTTTCATTTCAACTCAGGGTCTAAAAAGAAATGCCTTGAGCCTTCTTTAGCCCTGAAATATGGAATGGAATGAACAAGATTCTACTTCAAAAGAGAAAACATATGAGGGCTTTTTGGTTTGTAAAAACATGGTTCCCCTTTATAAAATGTAAGCTTTTCCCGAGCTGCTGGCTTCTAATGGTAGACAGAGACAGCCTAGAGTCATTATGAAAAAATAAAAAAATAATAAAATTAACAATGAGTTCAAGAACCTCATGTGATGGTCAAAGATCTCAAGAAAAAAAAACCAAGTGAGAAGAGCACCTTGAGTAGGAGAGGGAAACAAATTGAGAAGAGTAATGACTTTGACATCTGCATGCCCTGCACAGCCAGGATGGTATGGTAAGCAGAGCTGGCAAGGCCTTAGCTACATTTTTTCATTTAGATCAAGTATCCCACGTCTCCATGTCAAACCAACCTAACCCCAGCTGCTAGTAATCACGCCTCCAGCACCCTGGCGAGGAAGGGAAGGCCAGCAGCTTCAGGTCTCAGAAGTGTCACTAGTGGTAAGACCAGCCTAAAGCAACACTGTGTTGATAATATTTGCTCCTTAATATACTGCTCAATTTGGAAGCTGCCAGTAGTCAAAATAAGCATGAAGTGCCTTAGATTTCTCTTCAGTGAAACACAGAGAGGTTTTTTTTCCCCCACAGAATCAACCTTCTCCAGTCCAGCTTTTCTTTCTCTCTTTCCTTTCTATAGGTCAGCTACATGGTGTTTAGTTCAGTTTGCCCTCTTCCAATACAGGTTGAAAGATCAGGGATCAAAACCAGCATGGAAATATATGCATACACTCTAAAAATGAGCACTTCAGGTCTTCCTCATCTTCTCTTGTGGAAATATATACACACACACATACAACACACATGCATATGTACATATTATAATAGATCAACCTCCTCTCAAATATAGAGAAAGTGCTAGCTAACTGAGTGCATGTGCATATATGACAGTCACACGAAGTGTGACCACCCTGAAGTCAAACTGTTGGGAGGAGAGACCTGCCATCAATCTTTGAAAAGCCAAACCTAAAGGCCAATGCTTGGATACTTGCTCAAACGGCAACCTATAAGAAATTTTGGAACATGGTCCCGCCCTGATGAACACCAAAACACCAAAACAAAATCTAGTTTCTACATGGGAGTGGCTCACACATGCCAGGCAGCATGGATATGGGGTTACAATGTGGTCAAAGCATTGGTGCTTAATACAGCTCAATAGTTGGCCTCTGGTTTCCAGAGCACAGAGTCTTGGCTTTCCGCACCCCAGTGGGAATTAGGCACACTGGGGGACCAGGGAAGCACAGTCTGCAGAACTCTTGACTCCTTTCTGCTTCTCTGACCCACAGCTGGATGGGGTGGTCAGATCAAGATAGAATCGGGACTTGAGGAAGCGGCGGTATGAATCCTTTTCCATCAGGTTGAAGATCTTCTTCTGCGCCTCATCGAAGCAGGTTATTGTAGGCTCCAGCATGTTCCGGCTTGTCTCCTCCCTGGTGCAGGCATCCAGGTTCACCTGAGGGGCAGAGGTCATCCATTAGGCATCTCATCCTGCTGAAGGGAGGAGGCTGCCTGCCTTTTTTAAATAGTGACTGCCCATCCCTGCACCCCAGAAAAGGGGAAGAAAGGACATGTAGGTGTAGGCTCCACTGTGGGCACTGTGAGTGAGCATAAGAGGTTCACCTCCATAAAGGCAGGTAGGTCAGTACTTTGTTACCACCCACAACTAGGAAGATTCACCAGAGAAATTCATTAAGAGTTCTCAAAGTCATCTGGATGAAATAACTTTTTATTTTTTCCTAACAGATGGATTTGGGGTCAAGATCACAATGCCAAGTGTCATTATCACATCTTTTTCTTTAACTCATAAGATCTAAAGGCCTATTAGTTTCAGAAAACTTGACTGAGATTCAGGAAGCTCTCTGCCATGAAAACCTACCTCTTTTGTTGCCTGGACTGAGATGAATTCATTATAGATCTTTTTGGCCTTCGGACTTAGTTTGGAAGGTGATTTAATCTTCTTGTATTCTTCACAGCTGATCCAGAAATCAATGTTCTCTTCACTGTATTCAGACTTCAGGAAAGTTTTGAAAGCTGCCAGCCCACCTGAGACACAGAACAAAGAACCACCGTCGTCAGGACACCGACTAATGTCTTGGATGTTATATTTCAGAAAAATGTTAAAGTACTTGGAGGAGCAAGGCCTGGGCTAAAGCAATTTCCTATTTCCAACTATTTGGGGAGTCACATGGGATCAGGTAAGCTTGATTTGTGTCTGGTATTGACTGAATTCCAGTTCTAGTTAGCAATGCTTGCTCCAGATTTGAAATATCTTTCAAGAAGTGATAAACGATATAAATAAGACAGAATTTTTGTTTCTGAATGCCAGATTCTCAATCAGATTCTGAATGCCAATGAAGCAAGCATTTGTGAAGGTGGATTTGGGAGCCAAAACCAGATTGTTTCTGCAAGAACTTTGAATATTTAGAATGTTTTTACCCTCAATATTTTTCTTTTCCCCCCAACATAGTGAGTTTTGCACATAGTTTCTATAGTAACGTTCTACAGTGTGTTGGAGGGTGGGCCAATTTTTAAGCAGACTGAGTTCAAAGGTACTCTTGAGTCTGGATGTCAGGAGGAAGGTGGACCTTTCTGCAGTTCTTATTCAGTCAAGCGTAGAATGAAATAATTTGTCTTAATCAGAGTGCTTCTATCTTAATCCTGGGGTGAGGAGTGGGGCTTGGAAGGATAGAGGAGGGGTGAAGGATGGGAAGGTGTCCAACTTACATTCATGACTAATCAGGTTTTCCAAAGATTCAGCCCATTTCTTGACTTCCTCTTGGCTTACCCTAGAGACAAGAAAAAGAATGACTTGGTGACTTGAAGACCATCATACAAAATTGGCATAAGAAAGAAACAACCCTTTCTAACATGCACAATTTTACTCTCAACTCTTATGATGAGTTCAATTGTGAACTATTATTATTCACTGGATGTATGGAAATATCAATTGCAATTCTGATCAGCATGAAAATGGCAGTCATCTTGATTGGGGTCTGATACATAATTTCCTTTTATCCCCCAGGACATCTCCCTCATCTGTTAATATCCAAGGACTTTTCTCTTACCTCTGACAAATGACAACTTTGTCCTTCTTGCCATGAGAAGAATTATGTTCACAGGAGTCTGATTTCTGCAGTAGGAAACCCAGCCGATGCTTCATGTCTTTTGCACTGTACACAGAAGAGGAAGAAAGAGAAGGAATAATTATTATTCAGCTCCTGTCAAGACTTCCTAGTGAGAAAGGGTTTGTGAAGTCCAGAACTGGAGTACAGGAGGCATAAGCTGTCTATTTATGGAATAAGAGTTTGAACAAGTTCTCAGATTATGGGTCTCCATTTCTGCTTCTGTCTGACTTGAGCACAAAAACAGTAAGATCAGAATAATATCCCAGGTTTGTTGTCAGTAACTGAAATTTTGAACCTTCAGATTATTTAACAGGCATTCCTATATACTCATCATTCTGGCTATCTTTTAAATTACTTTGGAATGCTGAATGAAGACACTTAGAAAACATGACTGCTCTTTGGGGCTTTTTTTTAATTGGAACTAAGCAAGCAAAGGCTGCAAAACATGGTATCTCTTGACAGCACGCCACCTTCTGGTGAGTGGTTGCTATTTCTATGCCTGCAGCAAGAGGAAGCTAGCTACAGGGGCACCTTGGGAATTGTCTAGTCTGTTCTTGTCAAAGAAGTGGTTGGCAAGCAAATCACGCTGTGAGAAATGCTTAGTCTGTAAAGGGTGCAGTACCAGCAGCGGGAAATGGGAAATGGGGAAAAGAGTAATAAATGCACATATTGGCTTGTAGGTCTAAATGGCAGGTCAAATTGCTAATAGCTGAGCTCTTCTCTATTTTCCTCTGGGGAACCTCCTGCTGCATTTGAGGTTTAATGAGAAGCTAGTAAGAGTGTTCACTGGAGTTGGTGATTGTTTCATTAGAATGGAGAAATTAACTTATTGCCAGAGTTTCCTAGGTAGCTAAGGACTTTTTACTTACTCTATAAGGACTTAAAAAAAAAATCCAATTTTACATTGAGGAGTTTAAAAGTCCTCCTAAAAAAATAAAAACATGCTGGTGTTTTTATTTGGAGGACTTTTTAAATTACAAAAAAAAACCCCCAACACCACAGTTAAAGGTGAAATTCTATTTTAGAAGCCGTGAATGACCAACTGCTGCTACTTAGAAAAATAAAGCTACAAAGATTAAAAAAAAAAATTTAAATGGCTACTGACATACTGTAGTCATATTTGTGAGTTCTCCCTTACAAGTCCATTATGTGCTTGGACTGTCCCTTAAATAGTATTTTCTCTGTTTCACAACAATGTTTTTCCTCTTCTGCTTTTTATGCTGGTGATTGATCATGGAGGCTAAACTGATTCAAAGGTGATAAGTAAATTGTTTTTCATTTCGAGAAAAAATCATTTTGTACTTCTATGTGTGCCTGATTCTTTCTGAGCACTGATAGTTATTTACCAGTGCAAGGTCATTTCATGAAGCGTCATATGCCCATTTAATAATACCCATAAGTTACTTGCCTTTATAACACAATAGAACAATACAAACCAAAACCAAAATGGTCTGAGAAGTCACTGGAGTCAGGGGACCTGGATTTGGTCCTTGTTCTGGCACTGACCACCTAAGTGACCTTGAGCAGTAGCCACCTCGGAGGCTCAGGTGCTCACACTAGGAAAAAGTATTCCAGTTCTCCCTGATGCCATTGAGTTCACCTCACTGTGTTAGTTTCTTAACTCTTTTAGGACTGAGTTCTCGGGCTAATCTTTGGTCTGTCTTCCAAAAAATGTTTACCAGAATGTAACTTGGTTCTGACCCTACTGCAGTAATTTATGATTACTCTCATCTGCGAGTTAACCTAAGCATGGCATACTTTACTCCATTCATTCCAGAAAATGAATGGGGTCAGCTAGAAAGCCACTGTCCTCTATGAGATCCTGCTACATTTCAAAGAAGCCACAGATATTTTCATAATCCTCAATGACAGAATATTTCAAAGATCAGTTTCTAAGTCATGCTCAAAAACTGTGCTTTATGGAATTTTTGCCAAAGTGGAATTTAAGGTGATCTCTATTTGCTAGGGACAGGAAGGGAGGTAAGATAAATCCAGATTAACTTTTTATTTCTCTATTTTTAACTTCCAAATTAAATAGTATAATAGGTACTGGGTGGCTTTGTTTCTAACTGATGTACTTTAAGAGCAATTATTTTGACCTCTTAAAAAGCCAGTTATATGAATAGCTGCACTTCTGTAAGATTTTTTTTAACAGAAATTGCATTGAAGAAAAACAAAACAAAACGTCATCTAGAGGTTGAGATCTACAGAAGCCTTGATTGATTTGTTAACAGTTAAAACGTTCTCTCTCAATCACCTACATAAACTATGCCAACTTACAAATGGGATCAAAGAGAAAGGGGAGATAGAGTTTGGAAACTCATTTCTTATTCTAAGATTTGCTTTTAAGAACATAAACAGTAGAAGATACTGCAGCACCATGCAGAAAGCACACTGTCTTCCTGGTAATATATCCAAGCCTCATAGTAAAACATCTTCCTCTTTAAAAAATCCCAAATCTAGTACACCATCAGAAATCCCACAGCTGCAATCCTATGCATGCTCAAATTGCCATCGTCACAGATGGGAACATTACAGACCAATTTATGTAAACTTAAAATATCTTATCACTTTTTAAACTAGAAAGCAAGTTTGCCTAGGAGGCTTGATATTAAAATAACCCAAAACTGAGGTCAGGTAAAACAACATCTAGGTACTGGAATTTAAGAAGAACACCTCTTAAATCACAATTCCTAATTTATCTTAGAGGGAAATTTGGAAGCTGAAGCCTCCTTAGTACATTGATTTTAATCCCAAAGAACTAGGTTATCAAGCAGAATATGTAAATAGCAAAGTCTAGACAAAAGTTCCATTATTGGTAGCTGAAAATGCTCTTACCTCTTCAAGCAAGAAGCCGGCAATCCTGCAAGCCCTTTGCACATCTTGTATCCTATTAGGTTAACACGTCTAGAAAAGTAATGTAGTCGAAGGAGCTGTGGCTTCTGTTTTAGAGAGCACTTTGCCTTTTCTCCAGGTGCGACGCTGTAGGAATCCTCAGAGCGTCTCCCTATCAAGCCTGTAGGAGTCTCTTTTATAGCCCAGCCAGGAGCCTCCAGCCAATCAGATGGCAGTTTTGTAATTCTAACTCCTCTCTGCCTCCCTCTGCTTCCTCCAGACCGGAGAGAGAGATAAGAAAGAAAAGACTGACGCATCAGCCATGCAAAGTGAATAAAGGGGAGAAAACCTCCTAGCAAAGTAGATATACAGGCAAAAAAATAAATAAATAAAAAATTAACATTGTCTCAATGAGTGTTAGAAGTATTGAATTTCCAAGACAGGGAAAGAAAAATAAATAGGAGTTTAAAGTGCAGCAAAACATGGAGTTTATTCGATTGTCTGCAACAACCTGGTCAAAGAGAGTTGCCTTTTGGAAAGAAAGGTGGCAGCAAGAGTCCACAGACTTACTGGGGACTAACTCTCAAAGCACAGCCTCTTTTGAATTAAAAACCTCCTATTATGCAGAGTCCACGATCTGATCCTCACAATTTTCAAAAGGGAGTTGGCAGGATCATCAGCTCCAGACAGCGATTTGCACAAGTTGAATTCTCTGGTGTCACAAGCAAACAGGAGTGTGAAGAGGAATAGAGGGAAATAATAACACAGTGGGAAAGAAATTTCCAAAGCAGCATAAAAACTAGAGGAAATGGATTAGCTGCATCCGTCTTCTATCTGGCTATTCTGCACATATTCTTGAGAAAAGAATTCAGATAGACTGACAATATCTCGCTAGTGTATGCCTTCTAGATAAAGCTCAAAGAGCAACTTAAGGAGCAGCGGGAGGAAAAGTAATAACCACCATATTTCTTTACAAATAAATTCATGTCTTAACATAATCCAAGGTTTCCAGAGTAATATTGAAAACAGAAAAAGAGAGAAGGAAAAGGAAGAAACATGTATAGTTTGCCTTGCATCTCATCAGGTTTAAATTAAAATAGGCATGCTCATTCCTACAGGCACTTGCAAATAGATGGGCAGTTAGTATTTTTTTTAAATGAACAGTTAATATTTTTGCACACAATATGATAAATCAAAAACTTTTAAAAAGCTAGAAGGTATTCTGCATCTTAAAATTTTATTTCAAGGCCCACATCAAAATTACAGATTTCTTCTACAGACAAAAATACAAGTGGAAGGAAGAAATTGCTATGTCTACATAGAACAGTTTCCATTCTGAAATCAATTAAGTTATCACAAGACATAGTGAACTGTGCATATCAAAAAAACAGGCAATAAATGGTTTATTTGGGAAAAACAAAAGGGAGATGTCTAGTCAGTTTCAACTCACAGTAGTCCTCCAGGCTAAAAATCTTTACAGAGGAGACTGCCTTTCTCCCACAGACCATATTCAAAGAACTCTTTACAGAGTTCTAATTATATTGAAATGTATCTAAGAAGACAGAAGGTGAAACAGCTAGGGACATAAGTCTTCCTGCCTTGAGAGCCTGTGGACATCCCCAACAGCAACCCCACCCCACCTAGCAGAGCAAGGGAGTGACAGAGAAAGAAAAGGAAGTGGAGGAAACTTCCTCTCTAGAAAATGCATTAAAATTTCAGGGGGAAACCTCCAACCGTCTTTCATTAATAAGTGGAAAACCTTTTATTAAATTTGCTACTGGGAAACTGTTTTGCAATGTAACAGAACAAATACAATGTCTTTGTATAGCCAGCAGCTGACCTTGATAATACTGTAGAAGGCAAGGCTATTAGACCACAGAAAGTAAAGTCAAGATGAACCATCTAGAAGTGGCACCAAAGAGGGGAGACCAAAATGCAGGGAAGTTTACAAAGAATGAACTAGAGCTTTCTATCCTTAGCTTGGTACTCAAGTGAACTAGCATGAAATCAGTGTAATTTTTGGAAGAAGGACCAAAATTTTACTGATTCTTAGAACTCCACAGTAAGAACTTGATATCTGATCCTAGATCAAAAAGTGCTCACTGTGTAGTTCATAGGAGAGAAGCTTCTATTCCTAAAGACTGTGAGTCTCTAGTAGTTCTAATCCACCAATTGCTATCAGAAGAAAGAAAATAGGCAGTTCTCTTTCACGCAGT